TACTACAACATTTTTTATTATGCCAATAGCCAAAAACCGTTGTAATAAGATGCAAAACCATTGCATGTAGGTATAGGCAATGGTTTTTTAGGTATAATATAATGTCCCTCTTGATATTATCATTTAATCACCACAAATCAGTATACATAGGTAATAAGGAGTCATTAAACTCTTTTATTTACCATACTCAATAAAAGTTAATATAGAAAATAAATCTTTGAGAATATTTGAATTCTAAAAACTTTAAAAGATATATTTAAACTCTAAATTATGAGTATTTGTGTACAACGGAAGCAAAATAGAAATGTAAAATCATATTACATTAGGAAACAGGGGCAAAAAGGTCATTTTAACCAAATAGGATCATATGCCATAACATATGGCACATAGATTTTAATTCTCATTTTGTGCAATGTGCCATGGCATACATGACAACATTTGCTGTCTTGATAGCTTATTAGAAGTGAACTTCTGATATGTGTTATTTTTACATATAACATACGATTGGAGTGATTCTAGTATCTACATGTAACTTATTTCATAATTTAACTAATAATAAAGTTTCATATCAATTTGATATTTCATTTGAAAATTAGACGCTCGAATACAACATGATACTTTTTTGTCATTTCTTGGCAACCAAGTGTCCCATTTGCCAAACTTATATCATTAGCCATTTCGAAGGCTTTAATCACATCCAATGTGATAATATTCAACTGATTGACCAATCATATCAACAATCATGCATTCACAATTCAATTTGGCCATCTAAACACTCTAATTTACATCAAAACAGGGCCACTTGGCATATTTACATGTATTAACTTCCTTGGCCAAATTTTCCACATTATAACAACTCAAAACACATTATATGCACTTGTACTTGTACCTTGACCCTTCAACCACATTTACCACCTGTACCACCTTTACACACTATAGGGTTAAGATATACGCCTACAAATCATACACAAGTGCAGCCAAGATGTATATATATTCTTATGGTAACTTACACACACACACATAAGTTCATTATACAAATTTAGTGATAGGGTGATACAATAGTCCTATTAGTCTTGGCCTAAGCCTTTCTCTTTGCTCTTATTGATATTTGAACTTGTAAAATAGTAATCACAAGGTGAGATAGAGTTTCAGTAACTAAAATAATTCAAAATTATCAATTAACAAGTAAAATCATAGACAAGTAAATAAAACATTATTATAAATCACATGCTAATATATAGACATATAATTATATATTTATGATCACATGCATGATCATACTACTCATCTGAACCTTTACATCTACCTTTGATTGAATTTGTAGGCTATACACTGGACCAATTCTATATAAATTGATCCGAGTTCACTTTTTCAAGGATAATTACCCAACCAAATGTGTTCTATCTTACCTTTGAACTATGAATTTCCCCTATTACACACATAATTAGAGTGTTGTATGCTCTATCACCGCACCTTTTCAGGTATTAAAGAGTTCATAATCATGTTAAGTCTGCCTAGATGTCCTATGATGATAGTTCATTGCATGCATGTGCTGCATTGCATGTCTCAAGGTGCCAACTCGACTATATGTATTTCAAATACTACTCTACCTAAGGTGAACTCTCATCCACACTCTTATGATCATGGTTTCACATACATATAATGTAATTATCATATTCACATTTCATTTTCAATTAGCTTGAGTTACAAATACTATATATATGTACATATTATTTTCTCAAAACTTTTTCTTTATTCCATTTTATGAATTCCAAATCACAAAAACATATAATATCATATTTATTTTTACACACAACTTGTCAACATTTAAATAAGTTAATAAATAAAATGAATTATTCAATTACATGATCCATTCTATTACTCAAAAGGGTTATCTATGGTCTCTTCTAATACTTCGACTTACTTCAACTTTAGGAAGGTTTCAAATGATCAAAATCTACAAAGTTAAACACTATATGTCAAATTCCCAACTTACAAAATCATTTATTAGATCAATTATGTTAATCTAGACTTTTAACTTTCATCATTAAGCAACTTTAAGTTCTACTCACTTTCCATAAACTTCATACAACTTCTACTAACTCTATTATTATCAATATAGGTTTTTCACATTATAAACCTGTCAATTGAGACTAAAAGCGAGCCAAAGCCTTATAACTCAACTATCAATCACTAAACTAGTTATAAATCTTTAACTTCCAATAATCCTTTCAAGGCTATTGGGCTATAAAACAACCCCTCACTTAAGGCTATTGGGCTATAAAACAACCCCTCACTAACTTAAAATTTAATTCTTCTATATCTCAAACTAAGGAAAATATGATAGAACATGAGAGTAGGAAGGTGTGAAGCTTGCTCACTAGCAATAGGCTGGAAACAATTTCCAAGTGCTTGAAAATCATTGTCCTTGCAAAGAAAACTCTTTCCTCGTCTTCTCTCATGTTTTCTCCCTTATTCCCTCTGAACCACAAGCAAATCTTTTGCTTTAAAGTGAAAAATTTGGTCTATGCACCGCTGTACATTATGCCATGCCGTAGCACGTAGTACAGTGAAATATTTCTCACTTTAACTTTCCTACACTATCCTAGATCATTCTACTTTCATCCAATCCTGATCTAAAATGTTAATGCACAATTCAAAATCATAATTGAATAAATTAATTCACTAATTTATTAATCTATTCTTAATTAGTAATTAGTTTTTGAATTAAGAATTCAGGATGTTACATAAAACTTGCCTCCATTATCTATAGTCTATGACAGCAATTTTTTCATATTTTAGGCCACAAATAATAAAATTATTGCTTATAGTAAGAGAATAGGCAATAGTTTTGGGTGCTGAAATTAGTAACTATTTTTGCTTGTTACTTATCATATAAGTATAGGCAATACTTAATAATTGAGGCAAAAATATTAAATAGTCAAAATCGAATATTTCTTTCCTCACCTACGATTCAAAACTTGATCCTTTGCAATAGATGAGATGACTCTAAGTCTCTAATTACTCTTTTAACATGATTTTTATTTATTATAACACAAAATATTATATAGATATATAATTGTTAAATTAAATTTTAAAATTTTCTAATTAATAATTAAAAACTTAAGAAAATAAATAAATCAATAAAAGAATACAGATAAGTTAAAAAATGAAAATAAATTTTTATTTGTAAAAAAAAATAGGCAACGGTTTTTAAATGTTACCAAAGAAAGATTTATAGTCAACATTTATTTATTTTTGTTGCCTATTAGAATAGGGAAGAGTTTTAAAATGTTGCAATTTATAAACAATAGTTGTTTGTGTTGCCTACTTGAAAATTTTATTATAATACTTAAAATCGTTACCTATTTTGAACAATTGTTAAATGTTGCCAATATTTATGCCTACTTATTTGAAGGTATTAGGGCATTAGTTAAAAGAAAAACACCTAACACCCATTGACCTTACTTACTGGGATGCTAGAATACATTGCCAGGCATCAATACCATTAGTGCCATCTTATCATCTTTTTAGGCATATTTAAAAGCAGAGGGACTAATGTTGCTGTTGCATATGCGATAAACTAGAGGAATTTGGAACAACAAAACAACTATAATGACCTATATCAAAATGTGTTAAAATTATAGGAATAAAAATTAAAGTATCCCTATTTAATAAATAGGCATGAAAAGTAGTACAATTTTTAGATACAGAGGGATTTAAAAAAAACTTATAATCTTGAATCAATTTTTTCATTGAATTTTGAAAATAATAATTTAAAATTTAAATTTTTGTGACAAATATTTTTAATTCAAAATATTTTACTCCATTCATCTGTCCATTTCATATTACTCCCTTCGTTAGGTATTTTTTAAAAGGATTAGATGTTAAAAAATATAAGACATTTTAATCTTTTAAGGTATAATTATTGTTTTTTTAGTGCTTGTATTGAATATATCATTTTATATTTATTTTAGGGTGAAATATTTATTAAATAAGAATAAATATAGAAAGATATGATTAGTTTGAAGACAAGTAACTACTTTATTAAAATATGAGATCTGATTTAAAATACTTTATATTTTTAAACGAAGGGAGTATAAGATTTCTTTTTTTAAAAAATATCATGCTTCTATATGTAAGATATTTTAAAATATTTTTTAAATAATTGATATATTTTTTATTTAAAATGTATTTTAAAATATGTTAAAATCACTTAATTTAATAATCAATGATTAATATTAAAAAGGGGTAAAATTTTAAAAAATGTACTGTTAATTACTTTGCTAATTGTTCTGGTAGTTGTGAAGGGCTTGTTTGTTTAAAATTGATAAATAAATGATATTTAGATAGTTTAACGATTTTATAAGAGGAATTTATTTTATAGATATTTGATAAAAATAAAATATTATTTTATTATATTTGGTTATAATAGTAAAAAGTGATTATTATTTAATTATTTCTAAATTTTATGATACTTTTCTTTTATAAAATAATTTATTATTTAATTATTTTAAAATTTTATAATATATTCATGTATATCATATTTTAAAACATTCTTTTTTATTTATTATATCGGATTATTTATAGAATCTACTGAAATTAACATCTTAAAATAATTAAAAGTATGTTCTTTTTGAATTGTAATTATTTTCAAGATTTTTTTTATAAAATAAGCTTATATAAAGATGCCACTCTCCCGTAATTGTATACAATACATTGAGGCACGTGTTTTTGATTTCTCCTTGCCTCCAAAAGTTACCGTGCAGTGCTCTGATCTTGGCGCCTCTTTCTGCTTTCTCTCGCGCAACTGCTAGTCAACTGCGAAGTTCACTTCTAATCACCGAACAACTTCACTGAGAAGGCTATTAGCTGCCTCAACACTGATTCTCGGCTCAATTCCCTCATACCCATGTCATTGCGAAGGCGAATCTTGCTCAAGGTCATCGTCCTCGGCGACAGCGGGTAAGTTCTTAGGGTTTCTCTGCAACGCTTTCGTGCTCGTGTATGTAGTTAAATGTGCTCACTCATGAGCTAATGGTGAAATTGGTTTTGTTGTCTTCATTCACTGTCAGGGTGGGGAAGACGTCGTTGATGACTCAGTATCCTTCTTCTGCTAGATTGGCTTGAGGTTTTTTTTAATTTGGTAATGAGTATGTGTACTGGGTTTTTGTGGTCTGCCAATTTACTTAAATTTTGAAATCTGTATCTTCGAATTTTGTTTTCGGTGCTGATGCACATTTCGCATCGTGGTTTCTTTTGCATTTGTTATTAGTTTTCATTATTTGCTTCTTACCCTGCAAGATATGAAGTTCCTGCTATTGAACTATTCATGCTTCTATAAACTTTATACTGGCTAATAATGTACTCCATCTGGCATTTTATAAGACCTTTTTTGTTGGTAAAATTACAAATACCAATTAAATCAACTATATATAGTTTGGAATCTTAATTTCTCCAAAACGAAATATAAACTTCCAAAAAATCCATTATTTAAGAAGGGAGGGAAAGAAATGAATATATTTAAGGAATGAAATAATGAGGGACAACTTTGGAATACCTTTCATTTGAGTCATTATTTTTCTCAAAACATCATATATTAAGGAACATCATTAAATCATTCCAAAAGACATCTCGTAAAATGGGGCAGGGGTAGTATTTGATATCAAGTTACAAGTGTTTTTGTACTCGTTTGCTTCTTGGAGTTAGATCCTGTGGATTAACAACTTGAATAGATATATACATAAGAAGTTTAATCAGCAATACAAAGCTACAATTGGCGCTGATTTTGTCACTAAAGAACTCCAGATTGATGACAGACTGGTTACTCTACAAGTAGGTTTTCTAGCTTCGTGGTATTTCAGTCTTCTACTTCATTTATTTTTAACAATATGAGAAAATTTATGTATATCTCCGTGCATCATTTGTGTTCTAGTTAGATATGGGACACTGCTGGTCAAGAGAGATTTCAAAGTCTTGGAGTTTCATTTTATAGAGGGGCAGATTGTTGTGTCCTTGTGTACGATGTTAATGTTTTGAGGTCTTTTGATACCCTTGACACTTGGCATGAGGAATTTCTCAAACAGGTCCTTCTTTCCGATTATCCTGCCATTTTTATTGTTTTGGGTGATTTGCATGCTCGGTTCTGCATATTTCTTTGAATAAATGATATTTAAAAGCAGTAGGCCTCAAATCTGAATTGCTCTTATCTGCTAGATAACTATTATTGTAGACTTCTGGTTTTGTTTTGTCCTGAACAATGTCCATCATGGCATCAGAAATTAAGAAATTATTATATATGAAGTTTTATCTTTGCTTTAGTTTACTTCCGCTTTCCCATCTTTTTATTAAATTGTTTATAGAGAAGTTTCTACTCTATATCTTGCATCTTAGAATATCAGCTAGTTGTGCTTGTTGGCATTTGTGATTTGGAAACTACAGAGGGAAGAAAAGGAAGGACTAATACAAAGTGTGAAAAGTAGTTTACCTGCCTTGATAGAAGACTGCATAAAATATTACTTAAGTGGGATACCCAGGATGAAGCATGGTTCACATGTTTTATACTTTCATCTCTGGGGTTTTGTTTCCTTTCATTTGAAAGGTGGTTTAGATGCTTTTTACACTATGAATCTTTATCATGCTTTTGCTTTTAGATTCTCATTTCACACTTTCATCTCTTGGATTTTATTTCCTTTCATTTGAAAGATTGTCCAGATTCTTTTCACTGTATCAATCTTTATCATGCTTTTGATTGTAGGTAAAAACTCATATTCTTGCATGATATCTAGATCAAGATTATTGCATGACTGTTAAGTAGATATGCTTGGCCAACCCCACCTGGTAGAATAAGACTTGTTGTCGTTAAGTAGATATGCTATAAGGTCATAAGACGTAAACCCAGCACAAGCACTAACCTGTTTCTTTGTTCATTTGAAAGCCTAATGTTTATATGCAGTTAGAGCTTTGGTTTAGTCTGTGGTATATATTAGGATTATTGCTAATCCTTTATTATAGCAGACAATTTGTGATATGTGATAAAATAGGGCGATAGGCTCATAGTGATGTTTGCATAAAAAAAAAAAAAATCTTCAAAAAATCTGAATGATGCATCAATTATTCAATACATATACAAAAAATCTACAGCAAGACGAACTATTTTAAGTCTAAATACTGCAATTCATTTCTTAGACTTGGTATGATATATCAATATCTAATTTGGAAAGAATTGAAATGAGTTATTATTAATATTTCAATATAAATAATACAATTCACAACAAGTCAAATTGTTCTTAAATCATAAATATATTGACTCAATTTTCAAATGCTGGGCAATGCATGGGCTTGATATCTTGTAAAAAATGTTACTCTTCCTCATGATTTATTGGCTATCTTTGCCGAGAACTCTTTAAATCTTGTATGGGTTTTTCATTGTGAAATATAAAATTGGCATGCTTAAGCCAAAGTGTTTCCATCAAGTAAGATCATACTGCTATTGTGTCATGATCTCCACAACCCCCCCCCCCAAAAAAAAGAAAAAAGAAATTCCACTTCTACTTCATGATATGCTGCCCTGCTGTTCACATGCTAACAACTGCCAGTCCTTTTATTTGTTAGCTGTTGATATGCACTCAGAATAAGAGGTAAACAGAGGAATTGAACAGTTAGGATAGGAAGGAACTTCAAACTGATTCTAGCTTGAGTCAATCGATTCCATTTACTATATAATCCATGGTCATGCTAGTACACAGCATTGGATGCATTATTTTTTATTTGAAGTGATTTTAAGTCCACCTTGTGCGGTGAATTATTACTATTTTGTTTGGTGAAGATGCATAACTGGAGTATTGGATTTGATGGAAATTTCTTTTCTTCAATAATATTTGATTCTTCAACTCCGCCTATGTTTATAGCCGGTCCCAAGCCCGGGTAAAGAAGGAGGGTTGTGTTAGGCCATCAACAGCCAATGTAAAAATTTGTTGAATCTATCATGAACATGGACAATAGACGTTATAATGTTAATGCTAGGTCGTTGCCCGTAAGTAACGCGCTGCATGGCTCGAGTACAGTGATAAGTGAGTTAGAGCCGCTGCATCGGCGCCCGGATGTAGTGTTAAATGAGCAAGGGCTACCGCGTCATTCTGGACGCACGCGGCTAAAGAAGTTAGTCCATAAGAGCAAAATTAGATTTGGTACTTGGAATGTTGGGACATTAAATTGTAAATCTGTAGAGGTTGTAGGGGTTATGATTCAAAGGAAAATCAATATCCTTTGCTTGCAAGAAACAAAATGGCGTGGAGAAGGAGCTAAGGATATTCAAGGTTTCAAACTTTGGTATACAGGAAAAGTAAGTGCACGCAATGGAGTAGGCATCATTATAGATAAGGAGTGGAAGAAGAACGTTGTAGAAGTTAGCAGAATTGGAGACAGAATTATTTCTTTAAAAATGATAATTGGACGTGAGACTGTTAATATTGTTAGCGCTTATGCGCCGCAAGTCGGGACAGAAGCCAGTCTTAAGGAATTATTTTGGGAGGATCTGGAGGGGTTGATTCGACACATACCACAGAGTGAAAAGATTTTTATTGGAGGAGACTTTAATGGGCATGTCGGGAGGGAAGCTGGTCAGTATGCGAGGGTGCATGGTGGTTTTGGTTTTGGAGAGCTAAACAATGAAGGGCAAACTCTTCTTGATTTCTCATTGGCGTATGATTTTAAGATTGCCAACACTTGTTTCAAGAAGAGAGATGAGCATCTCATCACTTACAAAAGTGGAGCCTCAAGGTCGCAGATTGATTTTCTTTTGGTTAGGAACACAGATAGAAAACTTTGTAAAAATTGTAAGGTGATCCCTGGAGATGCTGTAACGACACAACATAGGGTCCTAGTCCTTGATGTGTGTATTATGAGTAAAATCCAAAAACATCGACAAGTAGTAACACCAAAGATTAGGTGGTGGCAATTAAAAGGTGAGAAGCAAGATATTTTCAAGCGAAATCTTTTGGATAAAGGAATTTGAGATTCTCAGGGAAGTGCTAACATCATATGGGAGGATATGGCTAAAAAGATACGGGAGGTTGCAAAAGTAGTTTTGGGAGAATCGAAAGGTTCTGGTCCGAGAGATAAGGAGTCTTGGTGGTGGAATAATAGTGTACAGGACAAAATCAAGTATAAGAAGAACTGTTTTAAAGCCATACATTTGTGTAACAATGAGGAAAATTGGGAGAGGTACCGTATGGCTAAGAAGGAAACTAAGAGAGCTGTGGGTGAAGCTCGTTCCAAAGCTTTTGAAGAATTTTATAAGAACCTTGAGACGAAGGAAGGAGAGCAAAATATTTATAAGATTGCCAAGAGTAGGGAAAGAAAATCAAGAGATCTAGAACAGGTAAGGTGTATTAAGGATGAAGAGGGAAGAATTTTAGTTACAGATGATGAAATTAAAAATAGATGGGAGACTTATTTTTCTAAACTTTTCAATGATGGAGAGGATTCATCTAGTAACTTGGAGGATTTAGTAACTGGTGAAGGAGAACAAAATTTGTCATTCTATCGAAAAATATGTGATAAGGAGGTAAAGGAAGCTCTTAAGAAAATGGCAAATGGTAGAGCTAACGGACCTGATTGTATATCTATCGAAGCGTGGAAATGTTTAGGTGAAGAAGGGGTGAGATGGTTAACTAAGTTATTTAATGTGATTTTACGGTCCAAGAAAATGCCTGATGAGTGGAGGAGAAGTACATTAATTCCTATTTATAAAAATAAAGGAGATATTCAGAATTGTACTAACTATAGAGGGATTAAACTCATGAGCCACACAATGAAATTGTGGGAGAAAGTAATTGAGCACAGGTTGAGATTGGAGACAAGTATTTCTGAGAATCAATTTGGTTTTATGCCAGGTAGATCAACTACAGAGGCAATTTATCTACTAAGGGGATTAATGGAAAAGTATCGTTGTAAAGATAAAGATCTACACATGGTTTTTATTGATTTGGAAAAAGCTTATGACCGTATACCAAGAGAAGTGCTTTGGAAAGCGTTGGAAAAAAAGGGAGTACGGATTGCTTATATTAAAGCCATACAAGATATGTATGAGGGGGTAAAAACTAGTATAAGAACGCCTAGTGGTCAAACAAAGGATTTTCCTATAAAGATTGGACTACATCAGGGATCATCTCTGAGTCCTTATTTGTTCAACTTGATTTTAAATGTTTTGACGGAACATATTCAAGAGGAAATCCCGAAATGTATGCTCTTCGCGGATGATATAGTTCTTATAGCAGAGACAAGAGAAGAGGTTAATTGCAAACTTGAGTTATGGAGGAGGACATTGGAGTCGAAAGGTTTTCGTCTGAGTAGAAGTAAGACGGAATATTTATATTGTAAATTTGGTAAAGGACTATTCGAAAATAATTTGGAAGTGAAATTGGGAGATCAAATCATACCTCAAGTGGAAAAGTTTAAATATTTGGGAGCCATTATTCAAAATGATGGCGAAATCAGTGGAGATATTTCACATAGAATTCAAGCTGGGTGGTTTAATTGGAAAAAAGCTAAAGGAGTTATTTGTGACCGTAAGGTGCCTAATAAACTTAAAGGAAAGTTTTATCGTACTGCTATCAGACCGGCAATGTTATATAGTAGTGAATGCTGGGCTCTAACGGGACAGCAAGAGCATAAAGTTGGAGTAGCAGAGATGAGAATGTTACGATGGATGTGCGGACATACACGTAAAGATAAAATTCAAAATGAGCACATACGTGAAAAAGTGAGGGTGGCACCTATTGAGGAAAAAATGGTAGAAAATCGGTTGAGATGGTTTGGGCATGTACAAAGAAGACCAAGGGAGGCACCAGTGAGAAGAGTGGAACATATAACTTTGAGTCCGATTAAGAGAGGTAGAGGAAGGCCTAAGAGAACACTCTTGGAAGTTGTTGAACGTGATCTCTTAATTAATAATATTTCTAAAAGCTTAATAAATGATAGAACACAATGGCGTCTTGCAATCCATGTAGCCGACCCCACCTAGTGGGATAAAGGCTTGTTGTTGTTGTTGTTGTTGTAATAATATTTGATTCTTCAATATCTTTATACTCATCATGATTTTTCTGTCAAAATTTGATAGCTTTTTTAATCCTTTGTCTCTTGTTTCTGAATGAAGATAAGCCTCTATTAAGATAAACGTTCTCATTGTAAAACAGGCAAATTCTCCTAATCCTAGGAAATTTCCGTTTATATTGCTTGGAAACAAGATTGATATTGATGGGGGAAACAGCCGTGTGGTAAGAAGATGATAATGTACTTATTTCTATGGCTCTTTTTTTCTTTTAATTTTTTAATTTTTACAAAAGGAGTTTTTGTTTTGGGTAAAATTTGTACAAAAGGAGTTATTAAACTTCCTACCACCTAAGGAGCCTCGTGGTTAGTTTTGTGATAGCTTGCATAAAAGTTTAATTCTCTTGAATTCAGGTCTCTGAGAAGAAGGCAAAGGACTGGTGTGCTTCAAAAGGAAATATTCCCTACTTTGAGACATCTGCAAAAGAGGACTACAATATCGATGCTGCTTTTTTGTGCATTGCTAAGACTGCTCTGGCTAATGAGCAAGGGCAGGACATGTAAGTTTTTCTTTAGGCTTGCATTCATGTATTCAATATAATGTCAACATATTTGCAGTTGCACCCAAAAAAAGTTATATGTATTGGATATATGTCTCTTACTCTTCAGTAAAAATGATAGAACCTCGAGCAACTTTGATGTAGTCAAACTGCGAAATTAGCAAAACAATGCCACTAGACAGACAAGAAAAGACAAAATTGTATAAACTCAATAGTAAATGATCCTAGGTAACAGAGGATAAAGGATATATGTATGGTAGAAGTAAGGTAGGCTTGTTGCTTTGGAGATGTTAAAATTTCTCCCCATATTTTCTGCAGAAAATTCTTCACACCCCTCTTTGTGAGCCCCATTTATCATGTTATTCTTTTTTTTTTTCCTTTGTTTTGGTAAACATTTATCATGTTATTCTATTCCAATCTTTTAATGGACTTCTTGTCTTTCGACCTCCTCAGATCATAGAATCAGCTTTTGACTGTTTAGTTACCTTATAGTGTGTTTCTTAGGGCCCATGGGCTCAATTTCCACCCTATCCCTGTTTCTTCAATTGTAAACTCATAATAATAGGCTCATCAATGAATAAAGTTTTTGTTTCTATAAAACTCATGTTAAAGCAATGTTTTATGGTTTGATTGTTCTTTGTTTTTTATAACTTCATATTTTCTGTACTTTGGAATTGAATTTAGATGAAGAACAAAGCCTGCTTGCTTTATGATATGTAGCAAACTCTTAACAGAAGCCATTAACCTATCACAACTAATCACAACTAATCAGACAATACTGACAATTCTTTCTAGCTCAAGAACAAAATTACTGATTCTGTGTGAACATTAAAGTAAATCATCTCTCACGTCAACTAATTGTCTTTCTTGAAATAATATTTGAGAAATGGCCTAGAGACAGTGAATAAACCAGACAATTTCTCATTTCTTCTAGGTGAGGATGACCCAAAAATATAGATTGAAACTCTCACCAAAATGGATGTGCCATTGGAATCCCCAATCTAAAAGACATTAATTGTGATGAGTATTCAGATGTATTGCGAACTGTTAACTTGTGCGCACCCAATAATTATATTATGAGCCATATTCATCCATTTATTTCCCAGAAACAGATGAATTCGAGTGTTTGGTTATTTATCAAATATTACTTTCATTGAAGAGTGTTGTAGTGGGGTTAACTTTTCATGCTGGGTAAGTTATCTTGCTTCTTTATGAGTTTTGAGTGTCTAAACTCTATATGCACTAATTTAATATGCAAACATTTGGAGATAATTGACGGACAAACCGTCTAGTTCAGTCGTCCAATTAATATTCCGATATCTCAATTGCAGATACTTTCAAGGTATTCCAGACACTGTTCCTGAGAATGAGCAAAGGGCCGGGTGTGCATGCTAATATGAAAATTCATATGATTTATCTTATATACTTGATCCTTCGACTCACATTGTTTTTTGGTCCATAGTGATTCTCCACCCCTCCTCCTTTTTTGTAATCTCAGTAGACTAAATTGGTTTGTGTTGGGAACTTATATATATATATATTAGACCTTTGTAACCTCACTTTGGTGGTTTGCCACAAGTTGTTTAAGCTTAGATGTTCAGGTTCCTTCGAAAGAAAATTGTTTGAGTAAAATGTTTCAAATGGCATTTTATTTGACTGTGCCTTTGATTTTAGGCTACACAGAACAAGACTTGTATTTGAGTTAGAGAGTTGTTTAATTATTGTAGTTTGGTGATTGGTAATGGTTTAACTATTTAAAAATTTATTGAGTCTTGATATCTTATTCACAATTAAGCGTCATATTTAAAGCCTATTTGACTTTTATATCAATTGTATTATAGCAATCTAAGAGAAGTCTAGCATAGCATCATTTTGTGGTAAGGTGATGAAGTATATTGTAAGATATTACAAAATATTAACTTGGTTGTTGATTGTTGATGACAGTGTTAATAGTTTTGTGAGATGGAGTATTGCTTACTCAAGGATAATGCATTGAATCTATTAGATTTCATTATTCAACTACTGTGAGTAAGAAATTGTTTATAATTGCATTTATAAATTTAGGCTTGGAGACTTTTATTAATTCACGGTAATCGTTAGAAGATAATTTATGAAATAAATATATAATTGTGTTACCTTCTTTTTTATCTTTGATGCATCTATAAAAAAAAAATACTCATTCATCACTGCATTGAAAAGCATGTCAATAAATTTATTCATATCAATTGTCTCATTATTGAAAAGCATAATATGATTACAAGGTACATAAATAACTGATCTTTTTAAAATACCGACCTTCTAATTGGAAATTTGGCCTCAACTTTTTCACTAGTACCGTCAAGATTGCAGTTTGTATCACCTGCTACTGGTGAATCGGAAATAAGCATACCTTCATGATCTACTATAAAGCAAAAGATCCACCACTACCCAAAATTCCACAATAAATCCAAATGTCATGTTCATAAAGAACCAATTGATTCCATTCCCACGATCAACTTCTTGGTCTTTGTCATAGAAGCCATTTGATGTACAATTAATGGTGAGTGGAGGACTGCATAAATCATTGCCAGCAAAACATGATGCTTCAAAGTTTTGCAATTGGGTGCGTGTAGGAATTTTTCCCTTCAAATTATTGTAAGAGAAGTCCATAAAGCTTAATTCAGACATGCTTGGTGGGATTTCATCTGAAAGACAATTTCTTGAAAAATTCATAGACTCCAATAATTTCATATTGCCAATGTTTTGAGGAATTTGACCAATAAAATGATTATTTGAAAGGTTTAAAAAATGGAGTCCCTTAAGCATTGCAAGTTCCATTGGTATCACTCTAGATAATTAATTACTTGAAAAGTCGATACTTGTGATAAGACCAAGGGTGGTGCTATAATTATAAACTCTTCCTTTAAACAATAGTGCTTCAACTACCAATTGATTAACATTAAGGTCATGAAAAGAAATGGATGACTCTAAAGTATTGTTAATCACTGATGTAGCACTCAAATGCTTGACACATTTTGGTATATGTTCTACCAACGCATTTTGCACAAGGTCCAAAATTTGCAAAATACTCATGCCACAAAGTTGATGAGGAATTGGACCAGAGAATTTGTTCGATCTTAGAACAAGCATCCTCAAATTTGGCATCCTTCATCCAACCAATGATGGAATCCTTCCTGAAAATTGATTCTTTCTTAAATCCAAGAAAATCAAGTTTCTCGTGTGCTTCAAAAAAGTAGGAAAGTTTCCAAAAAAATTATTATTGTGAAGGTTCAATATTTCCAAAAATGGAAAGGATCCCATGGATATGTTTAAGATCCCAGTCAAATGGTTGTTCTCTAAGTTCACTACCTTAAGATTTGCCCATGTCATCTAGCAATAAGGTATTTTACCAGATAAATTATTTGATGCCAAATTAAGAAACGCTAATGACTTTGTCTCCTCTTGTTTATGACACAAGAAGTGAGTAATTGATCCTGAAAACTAGTTTCTTGAAAGGTGTATGTAGAACACATCTGGTGAAACATAAGGCAATTGGCCATGCAACTTGTTTGAGCTTAGATCAATAATATTTCCAACGTTTCTCAGTGTATTCAAAAGCTCTCCCTCAATATGATTGCGAGAGAGATTCAAATACTGAACATTATTGCCTATTGTGTCCCAAAATCAAGTTGGAATAGAATAAAAAATATTTGTGTTGGAGATGTCCAGAACATGAAGATGATTTAGTGATTGAATCCATGATGGAAATTGGGGACCTAAATTCCAAGAAGCCAAACTCAACTCCTCTAAAAGATAAAAAGAAGGACTCCAATTAGGGCCAGCTTTTAAAGTGGGGACCTAAATTCCTAAATTCTTGGTTTATTGGTGCCAAGAATTTTTGCAAATAGGTAAAATTAACAAGGTGGTCTTCTTTGACAACTCCTTGAAAAATATTATATCCCAAATAAAGTGCATTTAGTCTAGAGAGTGATTGTAGAATTTCAAAAGGACTTCTATCAAGTTGATTGTTTGAAAGTCCAAGATACATCAAAGATGTAAGGTTTCCTAGCGAGCTTGGAAATGCACCTTTAATGGCATTGCTAGATAGATCAAGATACTTTAGAGATGCAAGATTTCCCAATAAGCTATGTATGGGACCTTTAATGGAGTTGTGAGAAAGATAGAGTTCAAAAGGATTTTTCAAAAGACCAATCTGGTTAGTGAGATAGCTAGATAATTGAGCACCATCCATATAAAAAGTTTCCAATGCTTTCGAAGTGCATCCAGAAAGAATTTTTAATATTTCAGAAATTTGTTGGTTGCATTTATTTCCTGAAAAAGCCAATCTTTTCAAGTTACAAAGATTTCCCACATAAATTGGAATTGGTTCTTCTAATTGCTTGCCACTCAAATCAAGAGTAACAAAAGAAGTCAAGTTTTCATTGTTATTAGACATTGTGCCAACCAAAGAGTTATAAGAGAGAATGAGAGACTTTAAATGACTTAAACTGTACAACCAATCAGGGATGAAAGAGTTGAACCAATTCCGAGACAAATCAAGATGCTGGAGGAGTGTCAAGTTTTGAATTCCATTTGGGATGGGATCTTGTAAATCAATATTTAATTGAAGATAAATGAATTTTTTCAATTGAAATATCCATTTTCGGATCAATGAAGTGCCAAAGTTATCGTCTGAAAGACCAAGGACAATTAAAGATGAAAAGTTTGAGTTCGATGATTGAAAATGATTATTACAATTATAGTTTGACAAGTGCAATTCTCTCAAGGTGGGAAGTGAATGTAGAACCAGCAACCAATCAAAGGCATTGGATAGGTTTACATGAAGAGGTCAAGATATTGGAGAGAAGATAGAGCCGAGAGCCAACGAAGATTTTCAACAGATGTTGCATCAGTACATATTCATCCATGGAAAATTGATAAGATCCTTGGAGTTGAAGATATATTAGATTTGAGAGGTTCCCAATTTGATGAGGAATGCTTCCACTAAAATCATTATATCCAAGCCCAAGATGGAGCAAATTGGAGATATTTTCAATTTGATGAGGAATGCTTCCTTTGAGAAAATTATTTTGAAGTTCAAGATATTTCAAATTGGAGAGACTTCCTTCCTTGAAAAATATTACCTCCAAGGTTAAGATGGAGCAAATTGGAGAGACTTCCAATTTGATGAGGAATGCTTCCTTTTAAAACTATTATGTCCAAGGTTAAGATAGATCAAATTGGAGAGATTTCCAATTTGATCACGAATACTTCCTTCAAAACTATTACCTTCAAGGTCAAGATAGATCAAATTGAAAAGATTTAAAAAATGAAGAGGAATGCTTCCACTAAACCCAGCTTGAGAAAGGTTAAGATATGTTAAGCTAGCCATTGAACCAAGAAAAGCAGGAATTTGCATATATCTAAAATCATTACCATTCAAGTTGAGGTAATTCAAATGCTTCAAATCAAACACAGAAGAATGTAACTCACCACCAAATGTTGATGTCTCATAAACTTCATTTCCGTTAAGCAGGAAAGGAGGTGGAGTTGTGAGGTGAAGCTCAAGAATATGGCCTGTGATGTTGCTGCAAACAACGAACTCCCAGTTGCAACAATTTCCTTGGGGAGACCAAGAGGCAAGCCTTTTTGAAGGATCTGAGAGATGATGCTTCAGCTTAAGCAAGGCCTCTTGCTCACTTGGAATGCACTGTAACTCAGAGGATGCACTACAAATGCGTAAATGAACATTTGATAAGGTAAGCAACCAAAGAAAACCAAACACAACAATATTTGTTTTTTCAGGAACCATCCATCATGAGAACGTCACCCAAATGTTTTCGCTCTCAAATTTTCTGATCTCATGGTATGCTTTCATGGACACACAATTCTTGAAAGAAGAGCTAGTGTATATATAATGTCACTTGTCACTTTGTGGGTCTCACTGGACAAAATTCCCGTGGATCATCACAATTTTTTTTAAAAAAAATTGGCTACAAAAAACCAATTTTAATTTGTGTTTGCTGTAAAAGAAATATTTTCCTATTCCTTTCTTTCTTTAAGCCTGATCATATGTATGAATGGCTCAATGAATATCAAATTATGTTAATTTTTAATAAACAACATCTTGTCCAAAAAATTTAAGATTAAATTATATTCAATTTATTTTGTTTTATGATTATATTAAGTTATATTTCAATATATACATTGCAAAAAATTTCTTGTTAACATAATTTTTCATAATGTAAGAAGCAATATCCATGCCATAAAAAAAGGGGGGGAAAGCTTTTAAAACATATTCAGAAGTGTTTGAGATTTTAAACTTATTTTTAGTATAATATTCTCCTTTAACTTTTTACAATGATATAATTTAATCTCTATTATTAATAGAAGTTAATTTTAACTATTAGTTGGTTAGAAAATGATATAAAAAGATCAAAAAATTATAATAAAAGACTCAAATAAGTTCAGATTAGTCCAGCTCAAATTGTGACTAGCCCAATTTAATCTGATTCACCCAAATTACCGGTTATAATCTTAAGGTAAACGAGATCTTTAAGTCTATAGTTTTTTTTTTTAGCACCAGGGTTAGCCTCCACAAATTTTTTTTTTTGGGGTCATCATATCCAGCTTTGTAAAGTTTTTTGTAATTGACTTGTTAGACTCATGCGTTTTAAAAAGGGAAAAATTACAACCAACTTTTTTTTTTAGGCTGAAAAGAGTCAATTTTATTAATCCTAACAAAATTATAATCACCAATAGT